GAGATTACATTCTTTGGTCTGTCATGAAAAGGGCAAAACTGGGTTACGTCGTGAGGGTGGGAAAGTTGCAGGGAAAAGATACTGAGGAAGACCGAAATAGAAAATGCTGGACAGTTTGACATCTTGGCATGAAATATCATCTCTTTGGATAGACATGACCACTAGTGCCACAGAGCATTAACTATGAGAAGAAGAAGAAGAAGAAGAAGAAATTAGAAGAGGGAAGAAATATATCCTAAATATCTTACAGAAGTTAAAATGATAACCACCCATAAGAGAAGTTGAAATAACTTCAGGATAGAAATAAATGTTCGGAAGGAGTTAAAATAAAAATTAAAGCCTAGTTCTTTATTTCAGAAATGACTGATTGCAGCAAACATAGTTACGTAAGCGGTGTATATATCAACACATTCATATATGCTTAGCGTTGACTCTGTTTATGTAAGGTTGTTTCCTCTCTCCCCCCCCCCCCCCCACCCCCAACCCCTCTTCGTAGACAGCATGTGTGTCGGCTTTGATTTTTAAAAAAAAAAGGTTTTAAAAAAATAACCCACCCCAAAATACACACACTTTTTACGGATAGTAGTTGTGTCAGCTTTGATAAGAAAAGTTTTTTTTTTTTTTACCCTCAACATAGACCCCGCCTGTCAGAGACACACACTCTGTCTAGCCCCTCTCTCTCTCTCTCCCCCTCTCTTTCCCTCTATCTCTCCCCTTCTCTCTGGTACACTTATTTTCAGAACTGATTAACGTTACATCCGTGGATGTCATCGTTCAGCCGACAACAAAAACATGATGGCGTTTTATATTGCTATCTCTTACATATTTTTAATCGTCATTCCCATTTATTAAACCAGGCTCGGCTTTGATTACCTGTAAAGTAGGAGATATGAATAACGGTGGATTGTGTTCGGTTGGTTCCCCCAATGCGCGTACGCGGGTATGCTTAGGTGAGCGCCCGCTATCGTTTGTGTTGTGGTTTCTCCATGTTTTCAGCGCGGACATATAGTTTAAATTGTCAGTCGATATATCATCTTCGCAGAGCATCCTAGGCACCGGAGCATGGGAGCTCAGGTCCTTTGAGCCCCTCTCGCCCTCCACCAAACCCCGAATAATTATTGTTTAGTTAAGGCGGCTTATTTTGAACGTCAGTGCAGCGATGTTACCTGACTTCAAATAAATTATATAGGAAAAGCAACCCATCTCAATGATACTGTCAAGTCTGCGTCTGCCCTAACAAAGAATAATAGTAAGGCAGTGCATCAGGTTATAGCGTATATGTTATCAGGGAATTTCCTGGTTAGAAGTAACAGAAGGCACGGCCAGGTCCTGCTGGAGCTGAGCGGGCCGTGAAGAAGGTTCCGGGTCGTAAAATCTGTCTGAGGTGATGGCAGAAAATGTGTTGTTCACATAGGTGCTGGAATATAGGAGCTCGGGTATATTGAGCTCCCCACCCGACCATTTGGGAGGGAGTGGGGATGGGGAGCCATTAAACCCTCTCTCCAATCCAATAATTTTCTAAGTGACTAAGGGACCCCTTGTAATCATGCGTAGAAATGATATCGTACTGAATGACAAATAAGCATAATAATATACTTGTAATAACGTGACATTAATCAACAAATATTTTAATAGATAATTTCGATGAGATCCACGATAATCTCCCCAGCCGAACTACGTCGCGTTCCATTGATGAATTTTTAGACTGGTCTGCTGTCCGGGGGGTCTGGTTCATTCACGTTTTTCTTCCATTAAAAAAAAAAAGAGAATGACTGTGACATAGATTGCAGTACTCTTTAGGGGGTTGTAGGTTAGACCCAATTTGTTAATGTTTTTGTAGTGTTAAAAGCGGTGGCGTGCTTAAATATACAACACGCGATATGAACGGATTGCCGAACACCCCTCAGCAGTGTGCGAAGGTCGGGTGACTGGAGGCCGACCAATCAGAGGCTAGCTAATGTGTACCTCGGGGAGGTTATCGTGGACCATACCGATGATTTCTATACAGGGTCTGACAATTGAGTAATGAGACTGATTTTATTATGGCCAAAACAAAAATGCCATCTACGAAGCAAAGATGGAATCTAAAGAGGCAGCCTTTACCTATGATCTGGCAACTTTTGATCACCGCACAATAAGCAGACAACAAATAAGCCACCATTTTGTTGACCTAGTCAGAGGTTCATTGTTACGTAATCAGCATGAAATTATGTTTACAATTCATAAAAGGCGCCCCTGAGACGGTTGAATTGATGCGATAAGTTTATGGGGATAATTGTTTATCTCGTGCACAGATTTTCAGGTGGTATTCACTATTAAAAAGTGGTGGGGAAATGATTACTAATGCAACTAGACCTAGACGCCCAATTTCTGTTCGTAACGAGGAACTCATTGCAAATGTCAGAGAGGGATGCAAGAAGATCGTTAGGTGACTGTGAGGATGACGGTAGATGAATTTAGTGGTAATAGAGAGACTATTCGTAAAATTTTAGTGCAAGATTTTGGCAAGAAAAAAGTTGCTTGCATGTTTGTACCGCATTCGTTGTCTGATGACCAAAAACATTGGCGGGTGAGTACCCAAGAGATATAATCAAAACACTCATTTTTGGCCCCAAAACAAGTGTGAGTTGTCAGCCATCTACCCTATTCCCCAGATTTGTCTTCCCTGTGATTATTTTCAATTCCCAAAATTAAAGTTACCATTGAAAGGACACCTTTTTGACATATTGATGACATCTAAAGGGCTGTAACACCGACTTGAAGGGCCATAGCAACAGAAAACTACAGAGGTAGTTCCAGTGTTTGTTAGATCGTGCTATTCACTGTACCAATGCAAAAGGGGCTAACTTTGAACAAAATTCAGGTTATACCGTCAACGGTTGATTGTTTCAATTTTTATGGAATTAGTCTCATTACTTAATTGTTGGACCTTGTACATGCATCTTAACCTTCCTACAAAATTTTTGGGTTGTAAGGAGCGCTTACCCCCCTCCCATTTGTTCTGGGGGCACTCAAGGACCGGGTACCCCAAATCCCCAATTATTTGCCAACGAAATGTGTGAGGCGTTAAGGAGCGCATGGGGTGGGGATGAGGGGGGGTGGGGGGGAGGCAGTGTTTCGTATCGCTTTCTAGATGTCAACGCAGCAAGAACAACTCGCAGTCAAGCTGTCCATCCATAGAATACAATAAATTGAGGGACGAATTGACGTCTGTCCTGTGTTGATTGGGGCAGCTGTAGTTAAAACTTGTTTATGTGGATGCTTTCTATACGTCTTCGTAATGCCGGCGTGCCGGGTTCGATCCCATCTGCGGGCCTTGCGTTGGTTTCGACAGTGGTATCGAGAAGCCGACCACCCAGAAAGCAATGGCAAACTACTAGACGTAAATTTGTCAAGAAAAACCACAACAGCCAATGCTGGGGTTGGTTCTGCAACGTCCTGTAAAGAAAACGCAACTAAAATTTACATATGTATATCTGCTAGGTCCGTTGCTTGTCAATAGTGAAACTTTTTTTACAGCAAGGTGGTCGAGGTGTTAGGAATGCGTGTGATTATGTTATCGAATGTTGGTTCTAAGCGTGACATAAAGACTTTGCTTTGGTTTCGACGGACTGAACAAGCAACCGTTTACTCTGTTGAATCCAAAGAACGCGTGCTGTGTGATGGGTTTGACTCAGGGAATGTTAACGACGGCACAGTAGGCCGTCTTAATGTTCACACCTATTTGTCTCAAGCTGCTGTGTTTGCCGTTTCTGTCTTGTATCCTCCCATTGGTGCATAGACTCTTAGCCAACTCACTACATGTCATATCTTTTGCTGTCTTCCAAAACTCCTACGCTATTTCCAACAGTATAATATGTCGCAGTCTTTAATTAATTGCTTCGCTTATTTTAGATCTGTCTGTGTCTTTAATTATCTTCATATATTTTAGGCCTGTCTATGTCTTTATCTTCCCAAATTTTAGGCCTGTCTATGTCTTTATCTTCCCGTATTTTAGATCTGTCTGTGTCTTTAATTATCTTCACATATTTTAGGCCTGTCTATGTCTTTATCTTCCCATATTTTAGGCCTGTCTATGTCTTTATCTTCCCGTATTTTAGATCTGTCTGTGTCTTTAATTATCTTCACATATTTTAGGCCTGTCTATGTCTTTATCGTCCCGTATTATAGGCCTGTCTGTGTCTTTAATTATCTTCACATATTTTAGGCCTGTCTATGTCTTTATCTTCCCGTATTTTAAGTCTGTCTGTGTCTTAAATTATCTTCACATGTTTTAGGCCTGTCTATGTCTTTATCTTCGCGTATTTTAGGACTGTGTGTGTCTTTATCTTTAGGTCTGTCTCTCTGTCTTTTGATCTTCCCTGTCACTTAGTGTCCCTATGACGTATGTTTTTCTAGTGCAAGATCATTCTGGTTGTACGTATATAAGATTGTTTACCCCATCCCCAGCTTCTCTCTTTTCATCATCTCTTGCTTCTCTGGAATGTGTTTTAAGTTTTTTCCCAATTCTGCACCAAGATTCTCTCTTACTAATTTATCTCTGTTGTTCTGCATATACCAGTCAGTGAGTGCTTGTATTGTAATAATATCGTGTAACTCTTTATTTACAGATCTGCCATTCCTGTTTATTTTAAAACACACCCCCCCCCCCCAACTGTGATACAAGAATGCGACCAAACCACAAAGGTCTTTGCTTCTATGTGGGTGTGCATTTGTGTGTGTGATTTATATATATATATATATATATATATATATATATATATATATATATATATATATATATATATATATATATATAGACAGAGAGAGAGAGAGAGAGAGAGAGAGAGAGAGAGAGAGAGAGAGAGAGAGAGAGAGAGAGAGAGAGAGAGAGAGAGAGAGAGAGAGATTCGAACTTTGAAATTATTTGGTTTCGCATACATCGCATACGATTATCTTATCCAGATCGTCTAATTTCTCGTCTCTTACTAAACGCCGCTCTCATTTTTTACATTCCCCAGGGGACATAACACAGAAAGGCTATGAAAAGAAGCGTCTGCGTCTGCTGGGACCTTACGCAAAACAACAAAATAATGAAGGTAAGGAATTTATCACAGACAATTGTTGCTTGAAATGCAGAGAACATACCTTCACCCAAATGTCGCGACGTATGAAGTACCGAAATCCTGTGTTTCCTGGGGCAGGTATCTGTTTGCAGTCTACACGATTGCCGGTGTATTGATACATTATAAGTACGCGTGCATAGTCTCTCTCCATTCCTGAGAAACAACCAGTTAGATTTAGCTTAGCTTCGCAAGTAAAATGAACAAGAAAGGTTTTGTAGTATACTTTTTAATAGTGTCCGTCTTACCCGGGATAACATTTCTTGTAAAGTGCAGTATCTCCAAACGTTCAACATTTGCAGATTGAAAGATTGTTCATTTTTCGTTACTACCTTACTTATGTACAGATTGAATAAAAGTATAGGAAGCAAGAAAAAAAAAAAAAAACACATGCACGCGCACGCACGCACGCACGCACGCGCACACACACACGCACACACACACACGCACACACACACATTGAACTCTTTGGGTATTTACTGTGTTTTTGTAAATGTAGATTAATTCTTGGTGCAGAACCCCCTCCCCCCTTCTCTAATCACACACATAGTTAGGTAAGTGTTATCACTGCATGAACATGTTAAAAAAAACTACTTTCACAAATTTCACTGTTGACAGATTCAACAGCTAACAGTTTTTTTTTTTTTTTCAAGCACCATTCAGAATAAATTTCTAGATTTAAAAAAAAAAAAGTCCCACTTAAACATTTATGGAAATCGGTAAACTATATAATCCAGTATACTGAGCGTGTTTCTGGTTTTCTAGAAATGAGGGCACATAGTGATGTAAACAAATGATAAATCTGTAAATGGAGTCTCTTGTTCATGTTTGCCTTCTGGTGTTTATTCTGCACATTAGCCTAGGTTGTCAGGGAACAAACTTGCACAATCCAGGCACTGTTAGCTCAGTGGTAGGGCACATTTTTTTGCCTTTCTATTCTAGTGGCTTACTACATATTTATTTCATTAATAGTAGTGGCAAAGAGACTAACAAAAATCAAAATCAAAACTGATGTACCATATCTACATAAAATGATAGCTCAGATATCTGACCAAGGCTGAATTTGCACACACACAAATCTATTATATTTTTTCAAATAAAAGCACTAAATAATATTGCATATTACGCTACTAACAGGTGCATCACTACCAGCACATAAGACAATAATGACTTCCCTCTCTTTCCATGACCAGAGAAACACAAAACTGACCATAATATACAAAGAAAAGCACAGGAAGACTACCTTAGTGTAAAACTTGACAGAAAAATGACATAGTACCAGTATATCCATGAAGTAGGAAAAAAAAATTGGAATTAGGGAAGGCTGGTCTGCTCAACAAATGCCTGAAGAAATTGTATAAGTCAACCGACTTGTCCAGATATTGCAGCGACAGTGTAAGCAGGTAAATGCAGAAATGTCCTACCAACAATTTAGGAAAAGAAGATGGAAACCCTTCAGATGATTTCTATCCTGATGAAACTGGCAGGGGTCATTTGGGGACACAAATTAAAATCTTGTGGCAGGTGTCTATGGAAAATTTTGGTCTAATAAAATACATAGAAACCACCCAGGTTACTACCATAACAAGTAGCAGGTAAAATACAGACATGGTCATCAACACTTTTTCTTCTTGTTTCAATCCTTATACTAAGAGACCAGCAGCCTCGATAAAGGTTGTTGTACAGTCCAAATCCCCCCCATGTATCATGCAGGTTTGTCTTCATTGAAGTTGGAACTGGGCAGATGGTTTGTCTCTTAACAGGGCACAGTTGGTGGTCTTGGAGTAAATTGTCAGCAATTTCAAGTGTAAAGTTGCAGGGATACATTTATGGTTTCTACACCGAAAAACTTGAACATATGTTAGCAAAGTCTGTTGTGCCTCGTAATATCAACATCAGTCTCATCTCTACCACTGAGTTCTGAGAACCGTTTTCATCCTCATTTCTTCTTCTTCTTCTTGTTTAATCCCTCTGTCAGAAGATTTATACCAGGAGGCTGGTCGCCTTGATGAAGGCTATTGTGCCGTCCATATCTGCCCATATACCATACCGCTTTGTCTTCATTGCGGTTGGAACAGGCCAGTTTTCTTCTCTATTAGTAACATACAGTTGACAATGTTGGAGCACATCCTCAGCAATTTCCAGAGCCAAGTTGCTGGGACACATCTTTGTTTTCTACATCAAATAACTTGAAGACACGTTGGTGAAATCTTTTGTGCCCTGCTTTAGTCTGAATATGACATATTGTCCTTGTCTGGATAGGCGATGAAGCGAGTCCCCATTATTGAAACCACTTACTACTTGACCTTCTCTTTTAGATTTAAAAAAAAAATGAATGAAAGATTTTCATCAGATGATCAGATCTTTTATGTTATGAACAAACCACTTCATATGATAACACTGTGTGCTGCATCTGTCTGTTGCTTTTCTCTTTACATCAAGACAAGTCCCCAAAGCACAGAGTACATCCTTTAGATAAGACCCCTCTATAAAATAGAGGTTCAACACCTTTTGTAGCTGCTAGTGGCAACACTGGAAACTAAACTCCTGAATACAGTAAAGCCACCTATTGGCACAGAAAACAATGTAAGCCATTGAACTTGGCACAAATTAAACCAGACTACAGTTATAACCAAAGCAAGGTTAAAAAAAAATAAATCGTGCTCGCACGCACACACACACATACACACACAACCCACCCCCCCCCCCCCCCTCCCCCCCGGAACTGACAACTAGAATACACATTGAGCTGTGTTGTGGACAGTGAATTGTATTCTAAGGTTTAGAAGTCTAAAACTATAAAGCCTCATATATAGAGAAGATATGATAAAACAGCAATTTCAGTACATGTTTTCATCACAGTTAGAAAAGTACAGATCATTTATGGATGAACAAATGTTTATTATTTTCTATGAAAATTGGAGATAAAGACAATATCAGGGCACTTACTTGCTGGTGCTACTTGTTCAACTTGTACATTGAGATTCACGTGAACTGTAAAAAGCAGGAAAGTGGTGTCAGTTTGTGTCTTTCATGTATAGGGCTTTCCATGAACTCTTATTCCCTGTCTACCTTTTCTATCAGGGCTATTCAGCTAAGTTTTTATTCAAGGGCCAAAATTTTTTAATTAGAGATTATCACGAGCCAGAGACCTGAGCCGTGGCATAGAAAGATCGTTAACATGGTATATCTAGCAGTGATCCATGAGCAATTTGCTAGGTCTCTGTAGGCCAGATTTGGCCTGCTGGCCACCAGTTCAGTAACCCTGTTTTACATGGTAGGCCTCTCTTTCTGTTTTCACGTTTTCAGTATTTTTGCTCATTGTAGTATGTTATCTGTTGGCAGCAGAGTAAAATGACCAAACTATTTCACTTGTTGGTTTCTAATGAAATCCAGCACTCCCCCTAACCTAATGTCTTAATGATTTCATGAAAATATGTTTAAACATGAGAGAAATTATGGCCTGATCATCTATAGTATCTTTGCAGTAGGTTAATTTAAAAAAATTTTTTTTTTTTTTTTTTTTAAAAGTTGTCCATAATGTAAGCATTTAAACATTTGGCTGACAAAAAAAGGTATCGTCTTTGCATTTCAGCTAACATATTTTCTAGCAGTAATATAGACATATCTTAAATTACTTTACATTTGATTATTGAAAGTTTTATTGCTGTTACAATCATATGTTGGTGCAGAATATGTAGTGCATTTGGTGTTAGTTGCTGAGAATTGGTACGGAGTGGATACTCACACACGTTGAGTGCTGACAATGGGATGAATGCTAGCTGCTTTGGTTAATGGTGCAGGGTTTAGGTTAGTTATTGAGCTGTTAACACTAGAACACAAGACTGTTGTGCGAAAGCAAAAATCTGTGGTTGTGTTGTCTTCTTATCAGTCAGTCAGGTGCCGTCTCCACAGTGAAGGTCGGCATCAGTGGATCTCCAGCATGCTTTGTCGTTGTCTTTCATACTGCTGTTCATCCATATTTTGATATTCTTGATGTTATTCCTCCCACTTGTATCACTGTCTGGCACTTGTCTTCAGCTTCTATCTCCAGTGTATTTACATACAGTTGAAATATTTTACATGTCTCTTTTTATTTTTTTTCCTCCAGCAACTCTTGTTTTATTCCTAGTCTCTTCAGAACCTCTGTATTTTTTTTTTGTTTTTTTTTTGTTTCTGTGAAATACAACCTATTCTGCTTTTAGTTCTTGCCATATGGCATTGGCTATTATGTTTTTTCCCCACAGCCTTTCTGGCTTGTCTGCTGCCTTTAATTTCTTGTACAAATTTTCGTCCTTGCTGTAATGCCACTCTGTCCAGTATACTTTCTCTCTGCTTCCCTGCCTCAAGGTCACCTTCTGCCTCTCCAGCTTCCCTGCCTCTAGGTCACCTTCTGCCTCTCCAGCTTTCCTGCCTCTTGGTCACCTTCTGCCTCTCCTTCCCTCTGCACCTCTGCCTCTCCAGCTTCCCTGCCTCTAGGTCACCCTTCTGCCTCTCCAGCTTCCCTGCTCTCGGTCACCTTCTGCCTCTCCAGCTTCCTGCCTCTTGGTCACCTTTCTAGCCTCTCTGCCTCCTGCCAGGTCTTCCCTCTCCAGCTTCTGCTCTTGGTCACCTTCTGCCTCTCCAGCTTCCCTGCCTCTCGGTCACCTTCTGCCTCTCCAGCTTCCCTGCCTCTCGGTCACCTTCTGCCTCTCCAGCTTTTCTGCTTGGTCACCTTCTCCAGCTTTCCTGCCTCTAGGTCACCTTCTGCCTCTCCAGCTTCCCTGCCTCTCGGTCACCTTCTGCCTCTCCAGCTTTCCTGCCTCTAGGTCACCTTCTGCCTCTCCAGCTTTCCTGCCTCTAGGTCACCTTCTGCCTCTCCAGCTTTCCTGCCTCTAGGTCACCTTCTGCCTCTCCAGCTTTCTAGGTCACCTGCCTCTTGGCCTCACCTTCTGCCTTCCTCTCCTCTAGGTCTTTCCTCTCCAGCTTTCTCTAGG